GACGACATTTACCATGCCCATGCGGTCAACCCTCCCTCTCTTGACAAATGGCCAACACTGCTTTGCATTTCAAGCTGTTGGCTCTTCAGTGACTGGAATTATGGAACCAATCAATGCCACGTGGAAGAACCACTGCACACCCCAAAAAAAAGCACCCCCGGGCCGCTGCCCTGCCTTTCATCATGCTCCTCCTGCATAGCTGCCATGCACAACCTACAACCAAATTTTGACCTATTGCCATACTACACAACAAACTGCAATCAAGCCTGTGTGCCGTACAGGCTGCTTCCTCTCCAGAGATTTGCAATATGGGATTCCACTACACACCCTTCACTTAACAGCTCCTTCCTTTTCCCCCACTCTCAACTCGACTCCCCACATTCTTGCAAGTGTAACATAATCATGCACACAGAAAAAAACTGTGTACACCCACCCACCACCCCCTTCCACCCCCCCAACACATCCCCGCAAGCGCACACACACACACCCCTACATCCAGAAATGTGCTCTTCTTAGACTCAACGACAAGGACGTAAAATGCAAATTGCAACCACTGCACAATGTGCATCGGATTGAAGCCCACAGCACAATCTGTGCCAGTGTAAACCCTGTGGTTCAATGTTCATCTGCATAAAATCTGCACCCGTGTAAATCCACACAAGCAGGCACACAAGCACAATCTGCGCCGAGGCAACGAAGCCTGTGCTATGTATGATCAGACTGCCATATCCGGGTGAAGCCCTCCAGACCACCTTAACCCTGGTCAAGTGCAAGCTGCAACCTTCGCCACGAGAAAGCCGGGGGTTACAGACCGTGCTACCCACTTCATGATCCCAGAACAAGCAAAGCCCATCAGATCGTGTGCATGCCATACATCTACATCCAAATGCCTTGCACAACCTGCACAAGGGCAAAGCCAAAGGCACCTCAGGGCAATTAATGACCATGGGCTTCGCTCTAGTTCTGCGCCATAATCTGCTGAACAGGGGTAAATCCCAAGCCAAGGACAGCCTCCGCCAGGGCAGAAAAGCAAAGCCCGCAGCACGCTCCATGCTGCACAGGTAAAAACCTTCATGACGTTTTCCTTCTTTCATTGTTGTTCATACGTCAGCTGCGATGGTCTTCACCATAAGTTGTCATGGCACAAAACTGATCATTTATTGATATAATGCCAAATACCTTATTTGAAATGGTACACCAACACTAGCTCAATACTGTGGACGTGTTAAGTCCACAAAAGATAAAAAGGCTTTCCCTGCCTTTTGCATTCGTTGGGAAAAAATATTATCCATGCCCTCTTCTACTAGAGACCTAGTGATCGATCCAGACAGGACAGGCAGACCGGCATACTGAAGAATAACTCCCCTGAACCATGCGCCCAAAAAGAATGATTGAAAATCTCCTAATAATGTCTCAACGCGCTTACCAACTCTTAATGATAAAATTTCAAACAGATGCTATCCGACTCCCATGACTGAGGTCACATGGTGCTTCTCTCCTCTCTTTTCTTGTCCATGGCCTCTCGTTCAAAATTCAGCATTAGCACCCACTCTCCCACCACCACACTCACTCAATGAACCACCACCACCCCTTCTTCTCCAACCCTCTCTCTCTCTCTCTCTCTCTCTCTCTCTCTCTCTCTCTCTCTCTCTCTCTCTCTCTCCCTTTATGTACACTTCCGGAGCAAAACAGAGTTATGCAGAGTTCTCATGTGCCTACTTGCTGTGAGGATGAAAACATTTGCGGTTGTGGTTCATTCCAGGCTTGAAGGAGTCCCCGTAGCTGCAGATAGGGATTTTCCAGAATCTTCTCATTATTGCTCTGTTGGGCCTTGAACACGAGCCGATGCAGGACATTACGATATTGTTCGGCCTGCTCTGTCATCATCCTTTTCAGCAAGTAGGTGCTTGCAAAATACGCAATGCGTGCATCTGGATCCTCCAGAAGACTCCGGAAGAACCTTTCACCGCCCACTTCTTCAAGAGCGGCTCGGCTCTCTCGGCACTTACCAATCAATAGCAAGAGCATTGCAGCCCTCATATCACCCGCACCCCCCTCGGATCCACCACCACCTTGGCTTCCAACAACAGTTGCTAGAAGCCCGTCTTCCACGGATACTGGTGATGGTGATGGTGCTAACTGCATCAATGGCCAGCACAGAAGTGCTGTCGGCATGGTCATCAACAGCTTTGTCGGAACAATTGCCTTTCCATTGAGAAATGCAGTCACAACTGATCCTGGCATGCTTTCTCTTGACCCTCTCTGCTTTTCTTTGCCTGCTGAGTCCGCGTGCCCGGCTGTACGTGTATGCCATTGCCCTCTACCACTGCCTACTCCTCCCCCTCCTCTCTTCACATTTGGCCCTCCTGCAGACGTAGGTGTATTCGGGCCTGTCCTCCACACCATGCTGGCAGTGCGCAGGCTGCTTACATTCCCATCGTTTGACTGTTTCCACTTGTTACCTTGCCATGACGTTCGACTGCTCTGTGCACTCGTATCCATCTCCTGCTTCACACACAGCTGTGACAGAATTATCTCACACATTTGCAGGGTATTGACTATATCTTTGTTACCTGATGCTACCAGTTGCCAGAGTGCTGCATTCATCAGTCCCAAGATCGCACTTGGTTTCTCCATTGGCCCACACGCAGTGCTGGCACTTGCCTCCTTGTTCTGACCCTCGCCTCCATCCACACCAGTGGTGCTCCCTCCACTACTTGGCCCCATTGCAAACTCACTGCCTTCTCCTGCTCCTGCCCACTCAGACCGCATCAAGAGTCGTTCAAGAACCATGAGGAAATTTTGCCGAACAATGGGGTTCTCAGTTCGGAGGAGCCCACACAACAGCCTGACAGCTGAAGACACCTCTGGTGCTGCTGGTTCCCCAGAATTCACTCCCCCAAGCCCAGCATTTGCCCCCCCCCATTTTCCCCGAGCAAGTGTTTCCAGCATGGCTAACTGCTTCCGGAGAGGGGTCTTTTTCTGCTTACTTGTTCCTCCTACCATTGACGAGTGTACAGCCTGCGCTAGCAAGAGTTCCACCAGCCATGCTCGGCCATTTTCACGGTCGCTGGCCCGAGACGAGTGCAGAAGGGCACGGAGCGTTGCCCATCCCATGGATGCATCAATGCGCCCTCCCTCAAAGTGGGCGGATGCCCTAGCTAGCATCGCTGCTTCCTTTGATCCTTGGGCTGGCGGGTATGGTGCAAGCCCCTCGCTTGCAAGTGTCACATAGACAAGCGCAGAGAAGTCGGATGAGACATGTGAGTGGGAGTCTGCTAACACATCAAGCCGTTTTGTCACTTCCAAAAGCAACTCTCCATTCAGCCAACCGCTTGTGATATCCCGACCCATGGCTGCCACGATATTCTGGGCAAGCCCATCAGCAACTCGAGGGCATCCCTGACGGAAGGCAAGCACAAATGACTCTGATGCATCAGCAAGCATGAGTGCTGTTGCCACACCCCTCACATCCTCCTCTTTTGGCACTGGCTTTTCTGCAGTTTCCAAGTCCTGTTTATGACTTTCCAGAGCGTAGTCAAATATCACACCGAACAAGTTCTTCCTGCTCTCCGCTGACTTTGCTGACTCATATTCAGCGCAGATAAATCCAATGCCACCCAGCTTTTGCAGCTTGGCTAGGTCCAGGTCGCTCTTGACACCCCCCCATGAAGTAGATGAGGTCGGATCTTCTGTGTACAGCAAATTTGTTGCCATGTGTACCAATTGAGCACGGAGATCTTCTGACCAGCGGCACTGTGAGCTCAACTCCAGGAGTTCCTTGAACACCCTGACATCAACCCCGCTCAGCCGCTCCCGGAGAACAAGGCCTCTGTCACACGTCAAGAAGAGAAGGCAGCTAAGAGCTGATGCCCATACAACTTCATCTTTCTCCTCCATCTGCACCAAAAAAAGGAGCATTTCCTTCAAGATTGCAAGAAGCAACGCCTCAAACGCCGCTGTGCCTGCAAGTGGGTCCACACTCCCACCACCACCCTTTCCCCCACGACCATCTGGAACAGCTTCAGCACCACCCCCCTCTGGAACACCTGGGTCCCTCTGATTCCCCTGTCCATTCACTCCCCCTCCTTCACCGGCAGTTCCGTCAGCCCTGGGTGAAACTGCCAGCACTCCATCGGTCTCAGTATCTTTCCTCGAGACATGCTCTGGTTGATAACCCCTGGAGGTCGACCCTGGGTGGTTTTCCTTCCCTGGACCAACCCTGTATGGATCCAACACCCCACCAGCCCGGCCCGAAGGATCACTAGCTCTGATGATGCCCTCCCTGGAGAAGACTGCACTGGTCTTAGCTGCAGCATCAACATCTCCAGCTGCCAGTGATCCACTGCTCCACTCACTCGCATCACTGCCCTTCCCTGTTCCTCCTGCTAATTGTTGGACAGGATAAACTGCTCCAGGCCCCATCAAGTTCCCACTGGTGTGATCCCGCAGTAAACCAGACATCGGAAGTTCCCGTGGCATGCCTGATGGGGGCAGAGGTGGTGAGGCCACAGCTGACAGGAGGCGCTTCCGGGGTGGCAGGCCCAATGGCGATGGACCCACACCTCGACCCAGCCCAGGGGCCCCTGGACCGGCTAGAGCACCTGTATGTTCTTCAACCTGGAGAGGCTCCAAGAGGTGGGCATGGACAGCAAGGTTCAGCAGCAAATCAAAGGCACGAGTTCTGATGGCTGGAGAAGGTGAAGCAAGCATACCTTGTAGTAATGATAGAGTTAAGGGAGATGCTGCCCTCTTGTCTGCCATATACATGTCGATCAGCAGCTTGATGAGCACACTGGCAGCAATATCAGCAGACTCACCATGCAATGGCTTTGTGCCACTGCCCGATGAGGATGATAACCCTGACATAGTTGCTGCCATAGCTGTCGCTTCCATGCAAACTGCACCCAACACCTCCTCCATCTCTGCATCGCTGAGCTTGAGAGGTTGCTGCTCACTATAGCACCGGTAGTGAAAGAGTGGCCTTGATCGCCTTCGAAGTGTGGCACCTGGGGCTTCACTATCCCAGGGTAAAGAAGGGTCACCACCTTTTACCCTCTTTGCTGCTGCCACTGTACGGATGTGTAAACACACAAGCGGTGGATCGCTCAATGTTGTCAGGTCCCAGCCCCTCAGGAGGTCTCTTTCATTCTCACCAACTGCCCCAATTCCTGGCCCTGCCGATGATGCAAACAGCATGGCGGCTGCGCCTGTATCCACTAATGTCCTCATTGGTTCAGGACAAGGCCTAGCCATGCCCCCGCTACCAAGCATCACAGGAGCAGGAGCCCAGGGAAGAGTCTTGCTATTGCTAGTTCCCGTCCACCTCCATCGCAGAATGTCTGCACACACATAAGCATCATCCTCGCTGCGGATCTTCTTCATCCCTGGCAAACTCATAACCATCGCCCTAGCGGATTCCTTATCACTGGCTGCCAGCCGCCGCATCCATTCAACACCACCTATGCCACCTGCTGAGGCAGCAGAAGACGTCTTCCCTCCACCCACCTTGTTGGAACCAGTCCCTGAGGAAGCTCCTAGAGGACCGGAAGGTCCAATGAGCCCAGACGGCCCTATGATGCCAGACGGAGCAACGATTCCGGACTGGGGAATGAGCCCTGAGGCAGGAATCGTCCCAGAAGGAGCAATGACGCCTGAAGAGCGGATGATGCCATTGCTCGGCAGATGCCGTGCAACTATTGCCTTCACATACATGAGTGATTTTCCCAAGGCGGCTGGGGACAGAGCTCTCGTATCCCCAGGGTATGCCCATGAGGACAACTCACCTGAGACCAGCGATGCATAGTGCGGAGGAGTGGAGGGACTGATGCCATAATTATTGGCACTGACTGCAGCCTCAGCAGAAAGTTGTATCTCACCAAGGAGATTAGAGCATATGGAGTCAATCCGTTGAAGTGTCGAAGGGCCAGGCAGGTACCTGAAGAGGTATTTCTTAAGCAGCCCGACACATCTGAACGTCACCTGAAGACTGCGATCCTTCTCAACAAGAGCATGATCTAGCAAAACACCATAAGCTAGATCAGTGGTGGCTGGTTGTGCAAAGTAATGCTGAAGAGTCCTAACAGCTTCTGCACTTGTGCCTCCCCCTGCAGGGTGTTGTTGAGTGCACTCCAAAATCGCACGCCTCAGTGGCTCTGGCCCTTTCGTCTGACGCTGAGAACTTGTAGCTGCAGGCTGTGTGCCTGCCTGCAATTGGCTGATGCCTGGTACGCTGTCAACACCCAGTCCTGGAGGATCATTCATGGCTCTGCTTACCCCCACCCATCATCTGTACTCTTCGCCCGCCGTCTTTTCCCACCCATTCAGAACTCCGTGACTGCATGTGGCAAGCCCACATCCAGCCAAGCCACACAGTTGAGAAATTCCAGAGACTAAAGAGTCTCCCTACTTCCTCCTCCACATCCTCTGTCTCTAACCCCAGCTGACTTCAATACACCGGCCGCCTCCCTTCCCACCTACCTGTTTGGTCTCCTTGTCCCTTCCCATCTCAATATCGCGCGGCTTACTTTCCCAGTCTTCAATAAGCAGTCAAACACAGCTCGATCACAAGTGACACCATTGATTCTGCCTGCAAAAGCACATATGCACATGAGAAAGGGAAATGCAATCAGACTCACTTTCTTTCTTCCTTCACATGCATGTAAACAGGTAGCACACCAAACTGGCGACAAGCGCCCACTCAAAGCTCAGAGATATGGAAGTCGGAAACACAGTTCAGATACATGCTCACTTCAATTGGCTATGGCGCATCAGTGCCTGTACAACTCTCTGTTCGTCACTGTGCTCAACTCCGCTGTTCACACACCCTCAACTCAGGAATCAGGGTTGTCAGGCGGGGGCCCCTGGGGGCACAGCCGGGATAGGGGTTTGACCCCCGG